GTCCTTTAATTGGAAAAAACTCCCCTGCGCCCCTCGGGCGCGGAAAAAGGAGGTGTGACAGTCGGGGAAGAAGACGAAGGACGTTATTTAATTAGGGGTATAGCGTCTTCATTTCATACGCTATGTATAGCGTATGAAATGAAGACGCTATATATGGCAGTCAAATCGTCAGGTAATATAGCGTTCAAATACAAGGCGCTATACTTTAACGGCAAAAGTTACCGTTAAGGTATAGCGTCTTGTATTTGAACGCTATACATAGAAAGGTAACTTTTTTTTTACACTTATTAATGTATTTTGAGTCCAAAAAAACAATATTTATGTTCCGACTGCAAAAGTAGCTAGTGTAGCAAAACACTTTTACACTAAAACAAATAGTATTATAGGAGAATCATAATTGTAATTACACAACTTTAATCAAACCATACATAGGTGAACCCAGTAGCAACAGCCTCTCAGGTCTCCACTTTGGCATTTCTAATAGCTCCTTCATTCAGTTTACATTCTCAAAATCCCATATTTTGGAATCTAAAAATACTAGTACATCTTACTGGCAAGAGCTTTACTTAACAACAAAACAAGAATGCAACAAGCATGTTATGAATTATCCAGTAAACTACAATGACTTACAGCAAGAGCTAAATGACAATCACCATAGTCAAAGGCATCGTGTACAATGATGAGATCTTCATTTCCATACGGAAAGAAACTAAGGTGCTGACTGTTGAATATCAAACAAAGTTTTACTTTTCCGAGAGGAAAGTTTGTAGATCAAAAAAATAAATGGAATGTATCGGCAAAAGAGATTAACTGACTCCATGAACTATCTTCACTTTCTAAGAAAGAGATGGATTAACAATTCAACCTTAGCAACTATAAGAGAAACTACTGCTATCAGTATCCTGCAAGTTCACAATTAGCCATAATTTTAGTGTGCTAGCATGAGATCGTGTGAGACCTTGAACCGAGAAATCTATAGAATAATATTGTTGATGATTAGACTTCCATTAGCAGAAATACATAAGTTTTCCCAAAAATCTGCAACCAATAAGATCACACTGCTTCGCTAGGCCAATTAAGCATTTTGGTTTAAGAGATACGTCATTCTCTTAGGTTTTAGCTCTTGTTTAATTATCTCTCATGGTGTCATACTGATGGGGTTTCCAGCAGCTGTAGCGATATCTGCTTACACTCTTCTTTTTTGCTGGTCTTCCCTAATCTTTGCTTTTAGCATCTTGGATAATGTCTTTCTTCAACCGGTTCAATCTCTGATCTTTACCTGATCAGACTCAATATAACTGTCTGTGAATCCTACCTTCTATATATGAACTTATGAAAGAAAAAATGTTGTACCTTGTTTGATTGGTTTGTTTTTGTGCCTTTAGGAAATTATTTGTAATGACCCGACCAGTCATTTTGAGCTTTAGCATTCAGTTCGGCGGTATTGAGACCTTGATTAGCTACATATAATGCATTATAACTTGCGTTTATGGTTGGTGTTGTTGTTTGAGAGGTTCAAGATTGATTTGGAAAAGTGATTCTTAATTTAGAAGCTTTAAGTTGGAAGAGTTGACCAATGTTTGACTTTTGAGTAGATAACCTCAGATCAGAGTTTTGGTTGTTTCGATAGACTCAAATGGTGATTTTGACTTAGGCACATGCCCGTATTTGATTTCTGAGGTTCCTAGGTGAGTTTGAGGATAATTGTCGAAAGTTGGCGCTTGAAGGTGTTGGAATTGGCTAAGCTTGACTTAGAGTGGACTTTGGTGATATTGGATTCTGTTTGGTGTTTCGAGCCTTGGAAGGAGGGGGGGGGGGGGTCGTGTTGTCATATTAGACTTGTGTGTGAAATTTGGAGAAATTCCGTGAGGTGTTTAAGAGTGATTCAGACACTTGAGTTGCATACTAGTTAAGTTTAAGAATTTGAGTTGGCCACAGTCAAATAGTGGACTCGAGCTCAAATTAATGATTTAAATATTTAACATATTTGTCTGATGACTGTGGACTTGTTCGCAAATTTTACTTAGATTCTGATGAGTTTCAAATGGGTTTGAGTTTTGTTGCGCTCTTATTTGGTGTTTTGATGTTATTTTTTTGACATAAAGGGCACTATATTGACCAAATGATATCTAAATTTTGTTTTACTGAACCATTAGATTAGTATTGTGATTTCGAAGTCATAGCATTAAGAATCGTCGAATTCCGAGATCGTATGAGAGAGTTATGCTCATTTAAGTATTGAAAAAGATTGCTGGTTTCTGATGCGAACTTTTGTTCTTCGCAAATGCGAGGAGGGATCCGCGAACACAAAGAAGGAATTTGGGTTGATCGGTCAATGCAAAAATTTCTTTTCGTGAAGGAGAAGGTGTCCCGCGAAGGCGATAAACAAAAATCACCTGGTCAGTGTTTTAAATTCGCAAATCGCACATTATAAGTATTTTAAGCATAGTTTGAGTTTCAGAGCTCGGTTTAAGGCATTCTTCTCATTTTTGAAAGAGGGTAAGTAATTAAGCTTAATTTTGATATTTTTCCAAGATTATTTCCGTTAGTTATCGTTTTATATGTATTGGATTGTCGAAATTGGGATTTGAGCCCCAAGGTGGAGAAATGGTAAATTCTTAATTTGAGGGGTTGCCATTTGTTTACTTTTCGTGTGGGATTGAGAATTTGCTTCTAGTTGATAAATTATGAGCTTTTGAGCATGTTTTGACTAGTTTGCATGTTTTCAGGTTAGTTTTGAATTATTCAGCATTGATTTGAGGTATTAGAGCGTTGTTGGAGTTGATTATCAAATTTCGGATCAAGACAAGTCTCTTGCCTAATCTTGTAAGAGGGAACTTATCTTCGTAGGTATTCTATTTGCTATATGTTATGTGTTATAGGAGCTACGTAAATATGAGGTGAAAACCGTCCATGTGTATACTAGATTTGTATATGTCTGGATAGACTTAGACTTATATCATGCTTTAGCTATACTATTTGAGTTAATATATCCTGTTTAAATGCTTTAATTTATGATTTAACTTGAGAGTAGACTTGCGTAGTTTACCAAGCTTTGCTATTTTGGAGACATGGCGCTCTACTTGATTAGCTGCGGAAATTATATCCTCTCTTATAATTTACTCTCATGTTCTATTTATTTGTCCGGAAATTTCATGATTTATTAACCGGTACGCATATTCGCGAGTTGTGCTAATGATCCGACGAGAGTTTCACTACACTTATGGAATCGGGCATTTTCCCTCGGCAGTATTATGAAATATTCTTATGGGAGCGATCCTTTCTCTTCAATGGTATTATGAGATACACTTATGGATCCGGTCGTACAACCTCAGCAACATCATGTAACACCATTCTTATGGGATCAGATTGTTTGCCTCGACAATATTATGACAATCATATGGGAGCGGGCCGTTCGTTTCGATAGTATTATGAGATACACTTATGGATCGGGTCATACGACCTCAACAGTATCATGTAACACCATTCTTTTGGGATCAACCCGTTTTCCTCGGCAGTATTATGAGATACACTTATGGATCAGGTCGTACGACCTCGACAGTATCATGTAACACCACTCTTATGAGATCTGGTATTTCCCCTCGGGTGAATCGTGCGTAATATTTTGATAGGGAGTCAGTGCATATATGATTATCCTGACTCAAATTTGGATTTTGCACCTGATATTGATCACATATATTCCATTCGAGACAATTTTTGGTATTTGATGATTTCGTATTTATTCTCCTACCGAGGATCATGACATACATATTTATCTATTTTGTTGCTACTTGCTATGCTTCATACCTGTCCACTTTTATTGTACTTTGATTATTGGACCACTAGTAAGTGTCGATGTCGACCCCTCGCTACTACTTCTTCGAGGTTAGACTAGCTACTTATTGTGTACGTGTTAATTTACGTACTCATACTACACTTATGCACTAATTATGCTTGTACTATAACATGTACATTTGGTGGCCATATATGCGCGTAGAGACAGTTGCTGAGGAGACCTTCTAGTGAGCTGCTTTTTATGTTACAATCCACTGCACACAGAGTCCTCTTCCTATTCATTTACTGTATTCTGTCTATTTCCTATTCCAGACAGTTGTTGTAGTAGCATTGTATATTCCAGTAGATACTACACTTGGTTTTGGGGATTTAGACCATTATTCATGGTTGCATTTTTGTATGACATTCTGTTTTATGTTTTGATCATGTTCAAACCTTGTAAGATGTGGTCAGTATTTTATAATGAAAATGAAAAACTTTCGTTTATTTATTTTATCACTTGTTTCAAAATGTGTTATGAACTATCGATTAGCGTGTTGATTTATTGATAGCTTGCCTTACGATAACATTGGGTGCCATCACGGCCTATGGTGGGAATTGGGTTGTGATATTTGGTATCAGAGCACTAGGTTGCTTAGGACTCACGAGTCATGAGCAAGTCTAGTAGAGTCGTGCAGATCAATATAGAGACGTCTGTACATATCTTCGAGAGGCTATAAGACTGTTAGGAGAACTTACCTTTCTTGATGCCTTATCGTGAGAATTTATTTCAGTTGAAGCTTATATCTTCAGTTTCTTCCTACTCATTTGTACACAATGTCGAGCACTCGAAATCAGTTGGGCACCAACGAGATGTGGTTATGCTACAGATATGGTGCATGATATTTTCCCAGTGTTATAAGGGAGAACTACTATCATCTCCTTATGGAAAAGTGTTCAATTATTTCAGCCTAGTGTTGGTACTTACCACAGGTTTAGGGCTATACACAATGTATTGTGATGCTTCGGGTGTCGATTTTTGCGTGGTGCTGCTGCAGAATGATAGGGTGTTAACTTATGTTTCGCGGTAATGAATGATTAGGAGAAGGATTAATCGGTTCATGATTGGAAGGTTGACATTGGTTCCAGCGGAGGAGAGGCATTAGGGCTATGGATGTTCAGGCCTTGGCCGTTGGATTTGCGAGATTGGGTATTTTCGAGCATAGTGAGTTCTCACTTGTGTTATGCGCAGTCATCTTTGTTTAAATGTATTATGGCTCGTCAGTATGATGGTCTCCATTTGCTTGTACTTGGAGACAAGGTGTTGCAAGGTGGTGCTTAAGTAGTGGTCATCAGAGATGATGGTGTATTCCAACTTTAGGGTCGGATTTGTTTTCCTAGTATTGATGGTGCGAAGGAGTTGATCCAAATGACTAAGTCTATGCATTTCATTTAGGTTACTGGCTCTATACTTAGAAAGTTCGAATGTGGCGAAAAGGCTTACTTGGAGTGCAGAGGGAATGTGAATGCTTGATTATCATTTACCGATGCAATATAGTCTCTAGTTTTGAACGTATTGTTGGACCTTTAGTTGATTTTGATGGAACGAATGGATTCTTATGGCTGGTGGACGAGTGTGGACTTAGAAGGATTAATCAATTACATTTAGTGGTTATGCCCATGTCAAGGTCATTTAAGGATGCCGATATGGGGTTACACAGGTGGGATATCTCCTGTGAGAAGGTTTAGGGTTGTTTGATTTCTTATAAAGTTCATATGAAGAGTTTTACCTTCGATCCAGTGAGATGCATAGACTATAATGTGGGTCTTAATCGCTTGAGGGAGATGGCGCAACTATCATGAGGTTGACTGTGCATTTGGCGCTGATAATTTAGGATGTGTTATGACTGGTGTAACACGAGCTTATGAAAAATTCATTAGAATAACAACGTGAGATCATGGTGGCTGAGGAAGAGAAGTCATTGTAGGTTCTTAGGTTATGTGATCGTATCTTAAAGTCAAGTGGGGGAGCCTACCATCAATAGTTGGGTCACATGGTCATGAGTTTTTGATGTTTTTGGATTCCGGTACTTTTGTTGATTAGTTATGACTTGAGGAAGATGACATTAGGGGTAATAAGAGCAAGAAATTTGATGGATATGTGTTATATTTCAACTTATTTAAAGGATTCGCTTGGGCGCTTCTTTTGAAGTATTCATGTGATAATGGAGCACTAGTTATTTGAATATGTAGTCAGAACTAAGTCAGAGTGGGCGACTCTCAAGAATGGTTCTAGTGGATTAGAGATCTAAGACGTGGTACCTAAGGATTTAGAGTTGCATTGGATTGTGAAAGAGACTTCGAGTATTTCTACATCATTATCGTTTTGGCGATGCAGTTTTAGAGAGTGGAGGAAACAACTTCAGATTTGTAGAATGTCTCTTCAGAGCAGGGATTTCAGTTTGAGGTACTATTGGATGCACGAGAATAAAGTGGTTAGGGGTCTTAAGACAATGTGGTTTCGTGTTGGGGTCACCTGGTATAAGTGTTGATTGAGATCCATAGTGTGTTGGGAAAGAGAAGTGCTATCTTGAAGGCAAGTCAGAGGAATCTAAACATGTTGGATCTTTTTAGCAGTGATTTGGATCAACGTCATAATGAAACTGATCCGTTCCTTTGGTATGATAGGGCCTTACAAGTGTTTTTGTGGCAATACTTTTGGGTTGGCAGTCTGCGTGACTTGTTGAATTCGAGGGATTCAATTTTGATGGCTTGGTTACATGCAAACGGATCCCGAAGAGTTTGTGATGGTTTTGACCATGACTTCAGGTTGATGTATTCTACGGTTATGGAAATCTTTTTGCATGATATGACCTTCTCCTAATTTGAGTAAGTGAAGGGTTTTGATGGAGTGTTTATTCTACTTATGATTCAGTACTGATAATGATATTCTCGATATTTTCATATGATAACATGATAGATGTAGTGGGCCGTATGAGATTATGATTTAATGGACAAGTTACAATTTAGTTTTAGAAGTAAGGTCATGAGTTCTAGACAATGTGAGAGATTTCAGGTGTTTGAGAGAATGCTAGCACTATCTTATATCGCCTGAGAAGGGTGGTTATATAAGACGTATTTTGTATTGTGTGGAGAGTTGGCTAGTACTATTGAGGTTTCATGGTTGACAACTGTTGAGGTTTAGGTTTTGCTACTTGAAACAGAAGATTTTATGATAGTGTTTCTACTGAGGTGATTTTGTGTACGTGATATACCAGTCATTTTAATGGTAGAGCTAAAGGTCAGGTATGGAGATTCCTGTATTCTTGAGGTTTAGAGACCACTTGATTATTCACATTCATGTGGTGGCACTTTTTAGTCCTTGTGGCGATATCCAAGTGAGGTGGCTCCTAAGATGTTGATTTGCTTGTTGCATCGCATTTGTGCTTGTCTTTTATTCTTCGTACCAATCCGTCTCCCCAGGGTTATGTTTATGCACTTGACGTGCTTGTTGTTGATACACGTGTGTCTAGTAAGTACGAGCATTTTGGCTCGATGGCTATCCCCATGTAGATTATTATGTTTGGATCGTGTTACACTCTGCAATAATATTCTGTTTGAATCGAGTTGCAAACTGCAATGGTATTATGTGTAAAACGGGTTGCAGGCCACAACGATGAGATATTTGATACGATTCATTGTACTTATATTGTGTGTTTTTCTTCTACTTTGTGGAATGTTTGTAGAATATTTTTTTGTTGGTATACCTATTACACGAATTGGATAATCCTCGTACTCTGGTTCCTTTTTCATTATTAGTCATATTCGAGATATTTCTTATTTGGTGCATGGATCGTATTATATGAGATTCTAGATGGTATTTGATGTGGTATGTCAATCGAGTAGCTTGTACTGAATGAGACAAGGTTATCAGACCTAGAATTAATGCAATCGGATTTGATCAGGTATGTTTGGAATAAGGCTGTCATTAGATAGCTTAGATTTTGGTAATGGTTCTTGTCGGGTGAGAGACCCTATGACTTTGGTTCTGAGGGGTAGGTATGAGTTATACCCATTTATTTCATTTTTAGAAGTGTTGCAAAGGCTTGGCACATGGTTCTACATAATATGAGGTATGTTATCGATACCAGATCTGATAATGAACAATTATTGCGGGAGAAGATATGGTTATGGGCATATGAGTTATGAGGCACAT